TCACTTCTCTCTGAATGTGAAGACCCTAAAAGATGGGAAGCTGTTCCCAGAGCTAGTGCTAGAGCAGCAGCTAGACCGTGAAGCTCAGGCAAGACATCAGCTGGTGCTCACTGCTGTGGATGGGGGAACCCCAGCCCGCTCAGGGACCAGCCTTATCTCTGTCATTGTGCTGGACGTCAATGATAACGCCCCAACCTTCCAGTCCTCCGTTCTACGTGTGGGACTCCCAGAGAACACACCCCCGGGTACACTGCTGCTCCGTCTCAATGCCACTGATCCAGACGAGGGCACCAATGGCCAGCTAGCCTACTCTTTTGGAGACCATACATCTGAAGCAGTAAAGAATCTCTTTGGCTTGGACCCCAGCAGTGGAGCAATCCATGTGTTGGGTCCAGTAGATTTTGAGGAGTCAAATTTCTATGAAATTCATGCAAGAGCCCGAGACCAGGGACAGCCAGCCATGGAGGGCCACTGTGTGATTCAAGTGGATATAGGGGATGCTAATGACAATCCCCCTGAGGTACTACTGGCCTCTTTGGTCAACCCTGTCCTAGAGAGCACACCAGTGGGCACAGTAGTGGGGTTGTTTAATGTGCGGGATCGAGACTCAGGTCAAAATGGTGAGGTGAACCTGGATATATCTCCAGACCTGCCATTTCAGATCAAGCCTTCTGAGAACCACTACTCACTGCTAACCAGCCAGCCCTTGGACCGAGAAACCACACCCCATTATATCATCGACCTGCTGGCCAGGGATGCTGGATCACCTCCCCTGCACACGCATCTCACCATCAGGCTGAACATTTCAGATGTTAATGACAACGCACCCCACTTCACCCAGCAGCTCTACACTGCTTATATCCCAGAAAATCGGCCGCCAGGCTCTCTGCTCTGTACTGTGGCTGCCTCGGATCCAGACACGGGGGAGAACGCCCGCCTCACCTACTCCATTGTGGGAAGTCAAATTCAGGGAGCCCCGGCCTCCTCCTTTGTGTATGTCAACCCCGAGGATGGACGAGTCTTTGCCCAGCGGACCTTTGACTATGAATTGCTACAGATGTTGCAGATTGTGGTGGGGGTCCGAGATGCTGGCTCTCCCCCGCTGCGGGCTAACACCTCCCTCCATGTGTTTGTCCTTGACCAGAATGATAATGCTCCCGCTGTGCTTCACCCGCGACCCGGCGGGGAGCTCTCAGCCCCCCAGCGCCTCCCTCGCTCCGCTCCTCCTGGTTCCCTGGTCACCAAGGTGACGGCTGTGGATGCTGATGCAGGTCACAATGCCTGGCTCTCTTACTCTCTGTTACCACAGTCCACCGCCCCTGGACTCTTCCTTGTGTCTGCACACACTGGCGAGGTGCGCACCGCCCGGGCCTTATCGGAGGAAGACTCCGACACCCAACAGGTGGTGGTCCTGGTGAGGGACAATGGTGACCCTTCACTGTCCTCCACAGCAACGGTACTGCTGGTTCTGGAGGATGAGGATGCAGAGGAGATGCCCAAATCCAGTGACTTCCTCACACACCCTCCTGAGCGGTCCGACCTCACCCTTTACCTTATTGTGGCCCTAGCAGCTGTCAGCCTTTTATCCTTAGTTACCTTCACTTTCATGTCAGCTAAGTGTCTGAGGGGACATGAAGATGGGGCCCGGGGTGGGGGCCGGTGCTGCGGGGGCCAGGACTCACCCTCCAGGGAGTTCTATAAGCAGTCCAGCCCCAACCTGCAGGTGAGCTCCGATGGCACACTAAAGTATATGGAGGTGACCCTGCGGCCCACAGACTCGCAAAGCCATTGCTACAGGACGTGCTTTTCACCGGCCTCCGACGGCAGTGACTTCACTTTTCTCAGGCCCCTCAGCGTTCAGCAGCCCTCAGCCCTGGCGCTGGAACCCGAGGCCTTGCGTTCCCGCTCTAGTACGCTGAGGGAGCGGAGCCAGGTGAGGGCTGGGTGCTCCATGCAACCCCCTGGGGGGGCACGGGCCCGTCGGAGAAGCTGCGGGTCCACCTAAGGGCTTTGATCTTTCGCTCTCTGTTTGTACCCAGCTGGCTGCATTTGAACGTGGACAATCGGAGTGGTCGAGTCAGAGTCAGAGGGTTCTGAGCATCCAGGGGTGATGGTATTTATGGGTGAGGGGAAGTGGGCTCAACTCCTGCCCCCCCCATACAGAAAAGGCTGGTGCCCCACACTGCTACTGGTGAATTCACACTGATTTGGCAGATGCTGGGGTCCCCTGCGAGTGGAGGTCACCACAGACCTGGGCTGCCAACCTCCTGGGTACTGACTCCATTGCGATCTGCCGCTCTTGAGGCTTCCTCCTCGGTTTATCTTGATTCTCACAGTCCGTGACTTCCTCGTTAACTTCAACTTACTTATTCCAGCTCCAGCCAACCACAACCGCCCGACAGCCTCCGCTGGGGCTGGCTGGTTGCCCTCGATGCCGATCACACCCCTGCGCTGCTCCTTACCTCCCCAACTAACCCCCTGAGACACCCCCCCCCCGGAAGTGCTCGCGGTTGACTGATACCTGGTGAGGTTCCTAGGTCGCTCCTGCCCAGGATCAAGCCAGGACGCAGGAGTTTCTCCACAACCCTCCCATCGTGTCCCCTGACGACAGGGTGACTTCCCTAACGTCCTGAGCTGAGTGGGATTTCCACAGTCAGGAGGGACGCTGGCCCTCTAGGCTCAGGACAGGAGGAACCTGCTAGCCCTAGGTCTGGCTGGGCCTGGGGCTCTGTACTGAGCCCCTTCATTCTCAGCGCCTGCGCCCCTCTTGTAAGGCAGGGCCTTGGTTGGCCAATAAGCAAGTCCTAGGACTGGAGGCCTGGTTGCCACAGCGACCCTTTCCTCCCCATGCAAGTAGGAGCCTGGAGAACCCCTGCTCAGGGGATTCAAAACCAGGCTTTGGCTCCGTCGTCGTCGTATCAGATTTGGGGAGGATGATCAGAGCAAATCTTCCCTCCTCTGATGGATGGAAAACCACAGCTTCCGCCAGGTGCCAGGGGTAGCCCTCATATTTGGGGAAACAGAAATGGTAAAAGCATGTCTTCACAAACTAAGAAGCTTTATTCCAAGTCTGTCCATTCTCCACTCTGCCTGTGCTGTATGGGGTATATATATATATACAGGGTTTCTCTGTGTAGCTTTGCACCTTTTCCTGGAACTCACTCGGTAGCCCAGGCTGGCCTCGAACTCACAGAGATCCGCCTGCCTCTGCCTCCCGAGTGCTGGGATTAAAGGCGTACGCCACCACCGCCCGGCTTAGGATTTATATTTTTGAAACACCTCCAGATACTTCTGATAGTTGATTGAGTCCTACTACAACACCTCCTTAAAGAGCCGGTGGTACTCGGGAGGCAGAGGCAGGAGGATCTCTGTGAGTTGGACTGGTCTACAGAGTGAGTTCCAAGACAGCTGGAGCTGCACAAAGAGACTCTGTCTTGAAAAACAAAATAGAAACAAACAAACAGAAAAAGCAGGGTGTTTCATTCGCCCCTCCTACATTCTTGGATAGTTATTAGCTTTAGTAGTTGCCTTCACAGAGGTCAAGCAAGCCGCTCAAATTCAGAAGAAATGATGATAAAGAGTCTAACCCAGGTCTGTTTAACTCCAGTGTGTGCTTTGAATAGCTTGGCACTTGGAATTTGTGAAGCTGGACAAGACATGGTTGCTATCTGATTGGATGAGACAGGGTGGAGTTCTTTCCTCCTTAGGACCTCGAATATGGAAGAAAGTCTTTGGGGGCTCCCCTCTCTCAGCAGCACCCACGAACGAACACCTTTCATGTGGGTGTAGAGTTTGCTAGACTCCCTGTCAGATCATAATCCTGCACCCTCAGTACATTCTGCTGTCAAGGGATACAGTGGTCAAGGGTCTGCACCCTTCTCCATGGCAACCCCAGAATGGTGCTCATGGCACCTGATGCACCAGGAATCTCAGGACTCTGGGTTCCACTCACATCGCCGTCACCTGTGAATCTCGGTGTGAGTCATTGGCAAGTCCTGGGTCTTCCTTCTCCCCAATGTAATATGAGATGCTCACACTCTCTTCTCTTGGGAGCCTGTGTGAGAATTAATTACCAGCACATCCCAGGAACTGGTAAAGACTTGGCTGTAGGAGAATGTGTGGTGGGATCCCACACCCCCTGGAAGGACCTGAGGAACTTAGAAATTAAGTGATGGCTGGCAGAGCCCTGCACATTGAGCTGGGTGGAAGAGGGCTCAAGATCAGCCCCCTTAAAAGTGCTGGAGACTTAGTTGGCTCTGCTTGGAGACCGTAGAATGCGGTCCCTCTGGACTGCATCCCAGCCACTTTCTCGGCCTTCCTCGGACAGAGCTGCCTTGTCCTCATCTCCTTAGTCACAGGCCATTGTGTGGCATGAAATTCTGGGGGTGAGAGGCGTCCTGGGGCTTGGATGCCCTATAAAGGCCCGGGCTGGCATGACTCCTAAATTAATAATGTATTTAGCTGTGGGAAGAGGTCTTTGAGAGCGAGGGCCTGGAGGAGGTGTCCCTCTGAATGCGTCCCTGCACAACTTGGCACGAAAGGGGTTACCCAGAGCAGCAGCCATCTTGCTACAGCCGAGGCTTTGTTCCCGGCTGAGGAACTGAACGGCTCCTTTCTAGGGCTGGTGGGATTTTATCGAAAAGCCTCTCTGCTGTTTGAGGAGCGGGGCACCTTCTTGCGCTCCTTCCCCCAGTTCCACGGAAGACACTTTTCAGTCCTCGAATTTTGGCTCAGACGTTCTAAGTCTGGGGCGGGGGGGAAAACGGGATTCATTTCCTGAGCAGAGAAATCTGTGCTCGCTCACTGTGATCAGATGAAGTATTTTGTCAGTCTCTGGTTGGTTCTCCCCGCCCCCACCTTTGGAGCTGTGTCCACCCTCCCCCATCTTAGCCCCTTTCCTCCTCCCCCTGACCCACTCCCCGCCCCCACCCCCAGGGGCTCGGTAACATCTCGCTGCCGCTGTTGGATGCTCAGCCACCTTCCCTCTGTTTTCTCCACAGCAAGCCCCGCCCAACACCGACTGGCGTTTCTCTCAAGCCCAGAGACCCGGCACGAGCGGGTAGGTGACAGAATCTCCAGCCCACCCTCTTCTCTGCGGCATTTTCTCGGTGATGACGTGGGAGGAGAGGAGGGGAGGGCTCGGCATTTTCTACAAATGGCTCCTCCCCTCATCTCGTGATTCTTGGGTGCTGCTACCCCAGACCCCAGGAAGAAGAGATGCCTACTCCGACTATTTTGGAAGCAAAATTCACCCACTCGTCCTCTTCCTTCTCCCAGCCATGTGCACATTTTCCCGTCCCCTGAAGGCTCTGTGAGACCCAGGGACAGGCAGGGGTGGGGTGAGGAGGGCTTCCCACACCTATCCGTTGTTTATACTCTCCTCTCGCAGTTGAGCCGGGCTCTAGCCTGCTCTAGCCTGACCTGCGACTGGAGCACAGGAAATGGGTCAAGAGACGAGCAGGCTGTTGCCAGTCAGAACCTTCCCTGAACCGTGGAGGGAAATAAAGGGAGGTGGAAGAGAGGGAGACAGGGGAGAGAGCCCAGCTGTGGGAAGAGGAAACCGCACAGCTGGAGGTGGCACTGCTTATGAAATGATGCATTCTCACGACAGCAGCCGCCTCCTGACCCCACGCTCGTCCTGCCCCGTCTGCTTACGGGATTTTGTCTCCCTCCGCGTCCTCTTTCTCCAGCCTGCATCCTCCCCAAAGTCTCTGCCTCTCCCTTTCCCCATCCCTTACACCTGTGTCCCCTCGCCCTGGTGGGCACCTCTCCTGTCCTGCGCCTGCCCTGGCACCGTGCTCAATGAACGTGGAAGGAAGGAAGACGGTCCACTCTTCCTGGTGCCAGACTGTTGGTCCTTTCTCTGTGTCCCTTTACTGGTCTGGTTTCTCTCCTGTTCCAATCATTTCCTGTGTCACTGTGGCCTTCTGTCCATGCTCCCTTCCCCCTCCCCTGCTTCCCTTTCTGTTCTAAAGTTCACTGTGTCATTCAGTCTCTTATGTCTATTCTCATTCAGAGTCAGAGTCTCAGTCTCTCTCTCTCTGTGTCATACACACACACACACACACACACACACACACACACACACACACACACTCCCTGTCCCTCATTTCTTGGCATTTGTGGGCCAGCCGGCACCCAGGCGCCTCCTCCTCCCCCCGCCCCTCACACTTAGAGCCTTTGATAGCTGCCCCCACCACTCTCCCTCCCGCCCTGGCCTCCCCAGCTGTTCGTTTCAATCGGGTGTAAATTCCTGCTGAGACAGGAACCCCCTGTGGGGGTGGGGAGGAGGATGGACTTGAGCAGAAAGACCTTCAGCTGGTCTGAGGGGCGTGGGATGGGATCTGGGCCAACCTGCTAGGCAGAAGCTAGGCGCTGAGAAAAGTCCAGGGAGGGAAGCAGGACCTGCCCCCTTTCTGTGTGCCCGCATGCCAAGATGATGAGTTTGGGGGCTTCCACCCTGCTTTCTCCTCAGGGGCCAAGCCCTAGCGACAACAAGAATCCAGAAGCCTTGGGTACAGGCGGATTCCAGCTCCCAGGCATGCGCAGGCTGGTCTGCAGCGTGAGGAATGCAAAGCACTTCCTAGAAGGCCCCTAAAGACAGCCAGAAAAGGCTGGGGCTCCTGTTGCCCCTGCTTTGACCCAGCTGTTCCCTTTTTCCTTGCTGGCCTTGCCAGCCTTCCGTAGGTTGTTCTTATTCATTCATTCATTGAGTTTTTATTGAGCATCTACTGTGAGCCAGGCACTGGGCTGACACGCCTGGCAGAATGAGTGAGCAGACACCATCCCCAAACTCTGAAGTTTCCAGTCCAGCGGAGGAAAGAAAATGGACAACAAATCACGCTAAACAAACAAACAAACAAACAAACAAACAAACAAAAACCATCTAGTTCCATATCATTGAAGTTCATCGAAGAAGAGGTTGAGTGTAAGAGGGAAGGGGAGATGAAGAAACACTCCCAGGAAGGTGACATTTAGTTACAGCAGCTTTGAGACATGCTGTGCAATCAGGCTCCTTCTGCCTTGGCCAGCCACGACCTGCCCCGCAGCCCCAGTGGTTGCTAGTCTTGGAAGCCCCAACAGTTGTTCTTCATGTACCCCAGGGAGCATCCTTTCCCCTGCTGCAGGTCCCTTCTCATCGTGAGAGGCTTTGGTGGCCTGGAGTCCCTAGCAGAGCTCATGGGGAGCTGAAAGGCTCAGGAGATCCCTCCTTCCATAGCTACCTTGCTGAAGTTGGGACATTTTTGACTCAGCCCCAAAGTGGCCAAGATGCAGCCAAAGCACCAGGGTGTGAGCCAGAGGTGTGAGCCAGAGGTGTGAGCCAGAGGTGCCCACTTCCCTCCTTCATTATTTAGCTGTCAGTGAGGATCTCCTGAAGTCCATACACTGTGGGGTAGATAGAGATGGCCCCCCGACCTCAAGGAGTTAGCTGTGTGCTGAGGGTTGTGACGGGCAGCATGCCATGGGCAGCTGACTTAGCCAGAGAGCAGAAAGACATGAGAAGGTAGTGAGGGGGGTAAAATCTGAAGGATGAGTGCAAGTCAGTCAACTGAAGACAAGGAAGAAAATTCCAGATGCGGGAAGAACCTAGACAAAGGCCCTGTGGTGAGGCCTCTCCCGGTGAACAGAATGACAGGATGTTTTCTCTTGGCTGCCATTTTGGTGAGCATATTGGAGTGAGAGGACAGAGGAAGGCAATTCCTCTTAGTCAATGACATCCTGACCACAGCCCTCCACTGCTTCTCTGCCCGCTGTCTGCCGCCCTTCTGACCAACCACCAACCACGTCCAGTTTCGAGGAGGGCCAGTGTTGAACTCTCGAGTAACCCAGGGTAAAGTCACAGGCAACAGTAGTCACACTGCCCAGACCAGAGGGCAGTGGTCACATTCCAAAGCTCTTTGCTGGCTGCATGTTTCTCCTCCCCACACTGGGCCTTCTCAGGTCATCCTTCTGGCTTCCGATCGCAACACCACCGCTGTCCCCAGCCTTGAGCCCAACAAGCTGTTTCTCCTTTCAGGCTGTCACCTGGGCTGTGCCTTGCAATGCAGCTGTTCCCAGAGTCCCTGGCACCACCCCGTTCCCCTTTAGTTCCACATTATTCTGTTCTTCTCCAACCTGGGAGCCTTCCACTCCTCCTCTGAGACACTATCCGCTCCGCTCCCCCAACACACACACACTGCCTCTTAGATCGGGCAGCTGTTCAACAAACAAACAACAGCTTTTTTTCCCCGTTTCTCATGAAATAGTACATTCTTGGGGCTGGAGGGACTGCTCAGAGGTTTAGAGTAACTTACTGCTCTGCCAGAGGCCAGAGTTCAGTTCCTAGCACATATGTTTGGGCGGCTCAAGAGAGATAGAAAAACAGGAGATATAGGGAAAAAAAGAGAAACTTCCTCTAGAAAGAACTACCGACATTTTTGTTCGTTAGTTTTTGTTTTTCAAGACAGGGTTTCTCTGTGTACACCTGGCTGTCCTGGAACTCACTTTGTAGACCAGATTGGTCTTGAACTCAGAGATAATGGCGAAATTATTAAGGCCACTTCACGTAGTTAAAAGGAAGATTTATTTAGTGGATAACTTACAAATGAAGGGATAGATAGGTCGCGGGGTCTGGGGAAGGCGTATTGCAGTCCAGCGGTGTTCTCTGGAGCTCTGCTCGGTCAACCTCCACCATCTAGGGTGCAGGCACAGAGAACACGCTGGCCCATCCAGATCTCGGGTCTCTCAGCCCCGCCTTGTAGGCGTGACTGTTGCCAAAGCCTCAATGGGGGTTGGAACTTCCAGATCGAAGCTGGAATGGCTACCCACTACACAGAGATCCCCCTGCCTCTGCCTCCTAAGTGCTGAAATTAAAGGCAGGCACCACCACTGCCCAGCTACTAATGTTTTAATATGAAAAAGGTATATACATGAAAGTAGACAGTGCGCTGAAGTCTTGGGTCCAGCTATTCAGCTCTAACTTTCTGTACTGTCTTGTGCTATTGAGATCCCCACCTTGTGCCTCCCTGGATTATTTCAAAGCAAATCCCAAACGTTACATAATTTCATCTAGGATTTTCCTGTCTTTTTTTTTAATCAGGCACGGTGGTGAATGTCTTTAATCTCGGTACTCTGGAGGCCGAGGCTGATCTCTGTGCGTTTGAGGCCAGCCTGGTCTATATTATGAGTTCCAGGATAGCCAGGGCTACGTAAGGACCCTGTCTGGAAAAAAAAAAAAAAAAGATTCTTTTTTAAAAAAATATGCATTTTAAGCCAGGCGGTGGTGGCGCATACCTTTAATCCCAGCACTCGGGAGGTGGAGCCAGGCAGATCTCTGTGAGTCCAAGGCCAGCCTGGTCTACAGAGTGAGTTTCCAGGACACAGAGAAACCCTGTCTCAAAAACCATACATACATACGTACACACATATATATGTATTTTGCATTTGGTTTGGTGTCTCCGAAGTCTCTTCATCCTTTTTAGTATAAATGTTCCTTTTCCACCATTTTTATCTTTTGGTTACAGTTTATTCGGTGGGTCATTAACATATTCATTATGCATCTTTCTAAGCATTTTTATTTCTACAGTCAAGCAGCATGCATAAGCTTCCTTTTACAAAAAAAGTCTGGCAAACTTGTTCACAATAAGAATTTTCATTACCAGTCAACTGTTACATTTCTTACCATTTTTTTTTTTTAAATAGGAATTGAGGTCATCTTTCCAGTATTACTGTAGCCTATTTTTTCCTCTTTATAACATGTCAGACGAATTCCTCCATATCAGTAGAAACTCTCCAAAAGTCTTTTAAGTGTTGCATAACAGCACCTCATATGAATAGATATGTATATTTTCAGGTGCTAATAGGTTCTTGCTCTGCTAACTAAATAAACATCCTAACATTTTAACACAGTTGAGTACAGGCCACTGTCAGTGTGGCTTTCCCGGGTTTCTCACTTTTCCTTAGCTTCACACAGGGAATATTCTATCGCAGCCCAGCCCTTATGCACTCCCCCCAACCTCCACACACAAGGATAACCAGGACACATGAATGCTTGGAAAATGGCCTTTTAAACAGTCCATCTCCTTCATGTTTACTGTCTCCAGATCTTGGAAGAGCCTCCTGAATCTGCTCCTAGGGATCCAGGGACGCCTTGTTGAAGCCAAGTTTCTCTGTGTGAGATCATCATAGGCTTTAGGGTCATATCAGGCCAGTTAGGAGGTGCAATCCTGTCATTTAACTAGCTGTGTGTGACTTTGAGAAGGCCTTCACGCCCTTCTTTCATGTGCCGGAAATCAGGGATAATCATAACCCTTTCCTCAGGGTGGTTCTAAGGATGAAATAGACGATGTACAAACACATGGCCCAGTGGGTCCAGGGCTCAGAACCACCCTGACCCCCCATCATTTCTTGCCCAGCTGCAGAAAGCTGGCAGCCTGCCCATCTGTTTGGCCTCTAGCCTTCAAGCATGTTCCTGACAGTCCACCATGGTTCAGGGCCACCAGTGCATTCACCTTTATTCCCTAGGCAGCACGGTCCCCTGCCAGGGCGCCCTCCTACCCCGAGTTACCTCCATCTCTGTTCTCCCCACACCTTCGACAGCCCCCGAGCTCGTTCAGATAAGACTGAAGGCTCCTGGGTTTCATGAAGCCAAGGGTTTTCCTGTCCTCTAAGGGGACCCTCACACCCTCCATCCTTGCCCAAGAACAAGAGTGAGTTTCACATAGTGAAATCTCACCATAGCAACCTAGCTTCTAAGCACCTTAGGAGCTCTCCAGAACTCTGAGGAAGAAGCCAAATGTTTTTTTTTTGCTTCCCCAACCAGTGCATCATTACCCCCACCCCCACCCCACCCCACCCCCGTCCAAGTTCCTTAGGACCTGGACATGCCCCGTCTCCTGCCTTGAGAGCTGAGGACATAGCCACCCCACCCCAACTTCTCACTCCCCATGCACACCTTGAAAGCTGTCTTCCACATCCTCTGTCTCCTAGGTGACTTGCTTTTACCTCTCAGTTTTTTTTTTTTTTAATCTTAAAATGTCTCAAACCTATCCAAAAGTTGAAAGAATAGTATGCTAAAGTACACATCTTCTTGTGTTTGAAAAAAGAAAACAACCTAAATTTCTTATTCACTTGCACACAAAGGTGCACACACCCAGGTCCTTTCCTTCCAGAACCATGTAAAAGAACTGTAGGCATCACAACATTGGACACAGTATACCTTTAAAGACTCCTATAAAATCACAAAATAATGGTCATGTTTGAAGAATTTAACATTAACATTGTAAGACACAGTCCACTAGCAAACCTTCCCAAACGCTCCTGGTATGCCCTTTTAATCTGCGTTTTAAATTGAATTTAGAATTTGATCAAGGAGCATGAATCGCATTTACCATGTCTCTTCCTCCTGCTTTAATCAGAACAGCCTTCCTACCTTTTTTTTTTTTTTTTTTTTAATGACATAGATACTTCTAAAGCATCCAGACCAGTAGTCTTCATTTCAATGCCCATAGTCTGGGTCTGCTGATTCTTTTGGCTAGACAGCAACATCATTCAACAGTCTCATAGGAACATTCCATGGGTGGTATTTTGGACTTCCCTCTGACCACATCAGGAAACACTTAATGTCAGTTTGTCCTGTTAGCAGCTTCTATTCGTATCTGTTTGTCTCCTTATCAGAATTGCTGTTTATTCACTTGGTAAAAGTTGGGTCCCCAGGCTTCTTCATTACAGTTGTTTTCATGTTTGTTTACTTCTCTTTTGGAACAAGCTCTCTCTGTGTGGCCCAGGCCCACCTCTGACACTGGGGCTCAACTGATTAATCCACCCCAGCCTCCCTAGTGCTGGGATTACAGGTGTCCATCACGGTGTCCATCACAGTGTCCAGCCTTATAAAGCTATTTTTATCTATTTGTCTTCTGCTAGGCAAAGCCCTTCACTACCAAGCCAGCCTTAGTTTTTTTTTGTTTTTTGTTTTTTGTTTTGTTTTGTTTTGTTTTGTTTTGTTTTGTTTGTTTTTCAAGATAGGGTTTCTCTGTGTAGCTTTGCGCCTTTCCTGGAGCTCACTTGGTAGCCCAGGCTGGCCTCGAACTCACAGAGATCCGCCTGCCTCTACCTCCCAAGTGCTGGGATTAAAGGCGTGCGCCGCGCGCCCGGCCAGCCTTAGTTTTTTGAGACTGGGTCTTTCTATATAATCAGGCTGACCTTGAACTCTCAAATCTTCCTCCCTCAGTCTCCAGGATTACACACACATGCATGCTCACAAGCACGCACACATGCACACATGCACGCACGCACGCACGCACGCACGCACGCACGCACGTGCTTTCTTCCAATCTTCACGGTCTATCCTGAAGCCTTTTCCTTGATGCCAAATTCTTCTTCTCACTTCATAGGGACCTAACTCTCTCTTGAGCTCTTCTCATTCATTCAAGCAACTTTTATTTATTTACTTGTTTGAAGCAAGTGCATCTCTATGCAGTTCAGACTGGTCTCTCAAAAATCTTCCTGTCTCAGCCTCCCGAGTGCTAGCATTACAGGCATGCACCACCAGGCCCAGTCAGGCAGTGATTGTTTATCGGGGGATCTTCTCTGTGCCAGATGGTGCCAGTGTGTGTCAGGATGTGTGTAGGGCAAGATAGGTGTGGGGCTTCTTCCCTCGCCCCTGAAAACTAGAATAATTTGATCCTTGAAAATCCATATGATGGCTAGGTCTGGTTGTATATACCTGTGATCCCAGCACTCATGAGGCTAGCAAAGCAGGAGAATTACTGTGCGTTTGAGGCCCACATGAGTTATATGAGTTGCAGGCCAGGATGGCCTACAGAGTGGGACTGTCAGAAAAACAAACAAAAAACAGGGACAGCCAGAGACAGAGAGGAAGGAAGGAGATACGGAAATTGTCACCATGGGAAAGGTCCACACTGAGCACAGTGAGATGCAATTTCTTAGCACTCTTAATGGTTTTAAAAAACATGAGTCACTTTATGTTTTCAATGCACAGTGCTTCAAAGTGACCTAATGAAGCCCGGGTGCCCAGGTTTCCTGCTGAGGGCTTCAGTAGGAGGCTGACCCTGATCCCCAAGCCACAGAGGTCAGTGTAGCGAAGGAGCAGGTAGGGGACCAGTAGTTCCAGGACCACACAAGGCCCAGCCCGGTCCTGGTGAATTTTAGAATCCCCTGGGTCACATTTTATTTCCATCATGATAAATATTTAAAACAAAGGCTGTGGTTTGACATTCTGGGCATCAGCAAGAGAGAGCTTGGAAGGGAAGTTACTGGGAAGCTATAATAGACAGCAGATCACAGCCTGTCTTGAAGGATGGAGGGGTGGCGTTCATTTAGTGCCCCCGAGACAGCAGAAAGTTGGCCCAGGGAACGGACTCACTGGCTTCTGAAGGATTATATAAACGCCCCTCCTCCACTCGGAAACAGGTCTTTGGCATGGGGACAAGGCACTAGATTTGGGAACCCTGGGAAGAGGCTGGGGGGAGAATGAGCACAGCTGTCCTGGGGTGTTCCTGACCATGTCACTGTCTCCCCAGCTCCCAAAATGGTGATGAAACCGGCACCTGGCCCAACAACCAGTTTGATACGGAGATGCTGCAAGCCATGATCCTGGCCTCTGCCAGTGGTAAGTGGTACCCGTGGGTGTGAGAGGATGGAAAACAGAGGGAGGGCTGCCGCCATCACGGCTGTGGACGGGGTGTTGGTCTGTGTGGCTCCTCTGGAAGAGCTGGTGATCCTCCATGACCTAGCTCCGGGTCGAGGGATAACGAAGGGACTGAGGGGTCTAAAGCTCCCAGAGCAGAGCGAGCAAGTCATCAAGGAGACGTGTTTGTTACAAGTCTAACTGTGAGCTGGGTGTGGAGGCATACTCCTGTAATCTCAGCATTCCATAGGCTAAGGTAGGAGGATTCCCATGACTTTGAGACCAGTCTGGCTTACAAAGCAAGACTCTGCCTCAAACAAACAAACAAACAGACAGACAGACAGACAGACAGACAGACGATGCTGACTCTCGGAAGGGCCAGCACACGTCACACCACAGCTCTTCCGCTTACTGGCGTGACTTAGAGCAGTCTGTTCTCTTTACACTTCCTCAGCCAAGAAAAAGGACAGCAACCCCACCATGTTCTTGTGAGGACTAAAAGGGCACAGGCTATGGAACTGGGCCTGGCACATGTTAGACCCCATTAGTGGGTGCGGATGTTCCCAACAGATTACAGCAGGCCACTCTTCTGCCCCCCCTGCCTTCAGATGAGGACCGTAATTTTCCCACGTGGCTGAGAAAGAGCCTCAGTCTCACGCTGAGTGGGCCAGTGGTTGTACAGGAAGAGTCAAGGATCCCCTGCAGGGCAAGCAGAATCAGTTCACTAACACTTGAGAGCACAGGCTTTGGAAGCAGGCTCAAATCCTGGGTTCAAATCCTGCGGTCCCCACTTAGGGATGAGGCATTAGGTAAACTATTACGCCCTCTGGGCCTCACTTTCACTTATGAAATACTTACAGGTCTCATTGGGCTGTTTGAAGGTCACACATGAAATCCTCAACATAGGCTTGGCAGACAGTGATTATGGTAACAGGGCTATAATTGATTAGCCATTATATTTATTGACCTGTAGGGATAACAGAGAAGAAAAAGAAGCGTTTTCCTTTCAAGACAGGGGCTTATGTAGCCAGGCTGATTTCCAACTTCATATGCATCTGAGGATGACCTTGGACTTCTGATCCTCCTGTCTCCATCTCCTGAATGCTGGGATTATAGCCGTGTGATAGATACTATGCCTGGTTTATAAGGTGCTGGGCAAGTGCATCCCAGAATCAGAATCTCACTTCTATTACACATCCCTGTGAAGGGGCCACCGTGAAACTCATTACTTCGTATTCTAATCCAAAAAATTAAATTAAAATAGGATACATTATAAGAAAAAGACTCTAACACCGGTTGATAAGGACCAACTTCTGGCCCAGGAAAGCGGAGTCTAGGGGAAGCTTACAGATTAAGGCCCTGGACTCACACCCCCAGCTCTTGAGTGTGGCTGGGGGACGGATAGGTTAGAAAGCCAGGAGAAATATCCCTGTTATCACGGCAGGATGGGTGCTAACCAAACTTCAGGGCTTTGTTTCAACGAATCCTCTCTGCAATGGCGAGGTGTAAGGCAGGTTCTGATGCTCTGTGTTCGGCAGAGGGATGTGAAATGCCACTCACCTGGAGCTTCCCAGGATTCAGCAGAGCTGGGATTCGAACTCAGCTCTGCTCCCAGGGTCATGCTCTTTCTTCCACAGTTACCTTTGGCCTTTAGATCTAGCCTGTTTCCCTCTTAGCTGACTGGACCAAGAGGCTGCATTATTCTCCCTGATTAGCGCTGCCAGATAAAATCTAGGGTTCCCAGTTAAATATGAATTTCAGATGAATATATACTTTTTTGTTGTTGTTTTTTGTTTTGTTTTGTTTTCTAGACATGGTTTCTCTGTGTAGCCCTGGCTGTTCTGGAACTCACGCTGTAGATCAGGCTGGTCTCGAACTCAGAGATCTGCTTGCCTTCCTCTGCCTCTGGGATTAAAGGAGTGCACAACTACTGCCCCACACCACTGCCTTATACACAGTTTTAGTATAAGCCCATCTTAAACTATAGTAAAGTTTTTCATCGTCTGCCCAAAGTTCAGAGATAGCTGGAAACGATATATTTTTTACTTGTCATGATTTATTCATCTTACCCTCGGTGTCTGTGGGAGTGAAGGATGCCTGGCCTATGGCTGACCAAAGGGCAGAGGAGGGGGAGAGTTGATGGGGATTGTCCACCTCTGGGGACAGGACTGAGATCCTTGAGAGGCCAGTCGCAGGCCTGGGCCTGGGGCGGTGCCAGGTCCAGCTCTTGAGGGAAGTAAACAGGTCTCTTCAGCTGTGGTGGCCTTGAGCCCTAAGGCCAGAAAGCAGGCTTTTCAGCCCAAATCCAGATGCTAAAAACAGACGTGGAAGCAGTATTTATGGCCCAAAACCTTCCCAGAAGGTCTCCCTGGAGCAGGGCCACGGCTGCCTGCATGCTCCCCTGTCAGGGCTCCTCCCGTCCAGCCCACACAGGACCTGACCCGAGGCTGAGCCTGGGGCTCTGGGGGAACAGACTCCAGGGTGGAGGTGGCAGGGTCAGGCCCTGCTCTTACTTTCACACCTACTTCCTAGTCCAGGGCTTGAGAGGCCCCTGGAGCCCGGCCCAGGGAGGGGAGGCGGGAGGGACCCTTGAGAGAGCTCTTAAACAAACACGTGGGGGAGGCGCACCCCGAAGGAGCCTGCGGTTTTGCGGCAGTGCCGCTTCTGAGCCGGCCTCCTTGGCTATCTCTGGCTATTGCCATTGTGGGGCCTTTGTCTAGCTTGGACTGGTAATATTAAGGGGACCAGGGGAGGGTGGTAATGAGTTCGGAGCTGGCGGGAAGCCAGCTCCCCTCCTCCAGCTAGAAGAGATCCTGCCTCTTTGTATTTCTAAGTCTGTGTCCTCTGGGACTAAGAAAACCCTGGTCCTTGCCTAGGCCAAGCCTTGGGGGGTAGGATTTAACGAGAAAGGCCACTGGAGTCTCTGAACCAGAAGGTCAAAGTTGGCGATCCAGCTCCCACCCCCCACCCCCCACCTCTGCCCCCAGATTCAGAGATGGGAGCTGAGGTAATGCAGGCCCTGAGACAAGATCTCACAGCCCCTTAAGGCCGAGCTCACGGGGCAGGACTCCAGTTAGTTTCTGCTGTATTCGGCATCTCCATCTTCTCCCCCCCTGCCCCCCCCATCCACCTCAATTTCAGACTTCCTTGTCACTCAGCGAAGTACTTCCTGTCTTTCTGCTCAGTCTCCCTTCTCCATTCCCATTCCCTCACATTCCTTACACACACACACACACACACACACACACACACACACACACACACACACACACACACACAATCTATCTTCTTAAGCCCCTAAATCACTCTGGAATCCTGGCTCTTTGAAACTAGATCTGGGCCCTTCCCCCCTCCATTCCCAAGCTGGAGGAGGCTGTCAGCTTGAGGGGAGGGGTGGGCCTTGGAGGCTGCTACCTCCTGGAGTTAATTAGGGAAATGTCAGCAAATGAAAGGGCTGGGAGGGACAGCACGGGGCAGCTGTTCCCCCCCCTACCCGGCCTGCTCCCAGAAGGCCCTCAGCTCCAGGACTTTGGGGTCTGGAAATAGAGGGCCATGAAAACCCAGACGCAGGGGTGCAGAGGCCGAGAGACCCTGGCACATCTCCGCTCTTCCTCTCTCTAGCCTTCCCCTCTTGCCCGAACTGGAAGTATTTCCTGTCTCGATGTCTCAATCCCTGGTTGATGTCCCAGCATTACTCAGCCTCTCTGGCTTTAGCCTCCTTCTCCACTGGCTCCAAGGTCTAGGGTGGAGGCAGCGGCTAGGCAGTAAACTCTCCAGCTTTCGGGGAGGCTGGGCAGGGCCTTCCTGGGCCTTTAACTCCCTCTGTGTCGTCGGGGAGGCTTTCAGAGCCTCCAGCGGGGGATCTGGGAGGCAAACTCCCCTCCCCTCCCCCTCACCAGCTCCCGTCAGTGTGGAATGGCTATCCCACTGGATGGAGAGGGTGGTGACAAGAAAGGGCAGCTGTGCCTGGCGTTTACTGAACAAGTGCCAGAGCACTGAGTGTCAGTCTCACTGAGTCCTCACGGAACCCCCAGGACGGGTATTTCTGTGCCTCAGCTGCTAATGTGGACGCGGATCATCTGGAGAGCTCATGCCCATGCAAATCAGGAACCTGCATTTTAAGCAAGTGTGCCACCCTGAGCTCCACCTTCTTCCTCTGTTCAGTGAGAAGTTGGCCTAAGTGGCACCGACAGACTATGTACACAGCCAGACAGACATATGTACACAGCCCCATATCTGCGCTGTACCTAAGATATCTGTCCCAGGACCATCATCTCCCGGAGTGAGCAGACATATGTACACAGCCCCATATCTGCGCTGTACCTAAGATATCTGTCCCAGGACCATCATCTCCCGGAGTGAGGGGCAACCCACCTTTGCCCCCAGAGCAGGGATCCGGTCCACAGTTGGTGTTGGTGGTAAAGGAACCCATCTCCACCACTTAGATACACTTAGGATGCAGTCCCTCCATAACACATACTGTCTGGCACTGGCCTTCTCTCAGCCTTGGCCCCCTAGTCTGTAAAATAAGGACAGAGCCCCAAGCCTGACTGAGTGCTGTGTTGAGGTTTCAGTGACCACACATGCACACATGTGTTTGCCATGGAGCCAACAGTCCAAGGCTGTCGAAAAGTGGATGCAGTAGGCCTGATCTCAGCCTTTCAGGAAATGGAGGCTGAAGGATTTCTAGTTCAAGCTACCCGTGTTTTGTCACTCTTGACTTCTCCCCCAGCTCCTTCTGCAAGGAGACCGCCTTGGCGACCACTGTATCCCCAGTGAGTGGCCGGGTCCCGGAGGGCGTGGGAGGCAGGCGCTCACTGCCTGCGGATAAGCCGGTCACGACCCCGTCTGACCGTTTGCTCTTCCTGTCTCTGCAGAGGCCGCCGACGGGAGCTCCACTCTGGGAGGGGGCGCTGGCACCATGGGCCTGAGCGCGCGCTATGGGCCCCAGTTCACCCTGCAGCACGTGCCTGACTACCGCCAGAACGTCTACATCCCCGGCAGCAACGCCACCCTGTCCAACGGGGCCGGCAAACGGGACGGCAAGGCCCCGGCAGGCGGCGGGAACGGCAACAAGAAGAAGTCGGGCAAGAAAGAGAAGAAGTAACATGGAGGCCAGGCCTGGAGCCACAGGGCAGCCTCCCTCCCCAGCCAGTCCAGCTTGTCCTTACTTGTACCCAGGCCTCAACATTTCAGGGCTCACCCCAGGATCCTGGTAGGAGCCAAGGCCATGCTCCCCGTTGGGAAAACAGAAACAAGTGCCCAAGTCAACACCCCCTTCTCTGTGCCCTAGGGGGTTGAATATGCAAAGAGTTCTGCTGGACCCCCGCCCACCCCCCATCCAATCAGTGATTGTACCCACGTGGGTAGCAGGGTCAGTGTGGACACAAAAAACCCACGCCACACTCCCTTAGTTACAGCTGAACTCCTCCACCTTCCAACTCAGTCAGGCTCATCCATTTCCCGCCTCCCTCCCCCCCACTCCATCCCCCCACTCCTTCAGTCCCTCTCCGGAGCAAGGTGATTGGGCTGTTGAGGGAGGGGACAGGTGACCTCAGCAGGCTTCTAGTTCTGAAAGAGTCGGGAGACTATTACAACCTTTTGGCCTCTCCTCCGGTTCAGATTCCCCCACCCCGCCCCCCAAAGCATGGTTTGGTACCAGTCTGCCCATTTCCTTCTAGAGCCTGAGACCAATGCTTAAGTTTCGGGGGACACAGTCACCATCCCCCCCTGGTACTGATGCTCGCTGGATTTGGGGAAGGCATTTTGCTACCAAGTCTCTCTGCGATGCCTGGGGACCAGTCTTTTGTCTTTCGTCGTTTGATGTTACCACTGCATGCTGTGACTTCCCTACTCCTCAAAGAAGAGACTCCTTTGCATGTCTGGAGACAGTAGGGGGTGGTAAGAGGGAAGGTGCGTGTATACAGACGGAGTGGGGCAGTGGACACAACAGCCCGGTAACAGGGTCTTTGCAGGGGGCTCTGTATGTACCCAGGGTACTGGCCCAACCCCCCCAACTCTAGCCATAGACAAACACCAGGCCGGACCCCCTCCACCTCGGGGCAGCCTGAGCAGCTTGAGGACACCAGGACCAAGGGATTTCAAGCTGGCCTTTCAGTCTAAGAGGCCTCTAAGTGGATTTCGGACCCGAGAGGAAAGCGGAGCCTCTGTGGGTGCTGGGTACTCCAGAGGTGCCCCCTGATGAAAGGGTCCGTGGTCCTAGCAGGAAAGGAGGCCAGGCCAGGCCATCTGGGACCCCTGGGTTGAATCGAGGGAGAACATGGACCAAGCGGCCATAAATATGTCTCAGCCAATGACTTGGGGGGCTTCTTCACTGCCCCCCCCCGTAGCCCTCAAGCCCCTGGCCTCCACCTTACCAGGTGCCATTTCTTCTCAGAAGGCCACTGCCCGGGCCCCCCAGGCCGCCCCTTCGTGGCCAGAGACTGGTTAAAGCCCCCCAGTGCCTCCTTGTGCATAGAACTCCCTCGGCCCGCCCTCTCTGCCCCAGCCCTCCCCGTAGGTGTAGCAGCCCCCTCCCCGGCGGCTGGCGTAGAATAGCCAATAGTGTAGTGTGGTGTGCTTTCCCGTGACGGCGAGTGGGCAGCGGGCGGCGGGCTGTGCGCAGCCCGTCTGTCCCCGCATCTCAACCTGCCTGCGCGGCCCGTGCTGTGTTTTCGTGCTGTGTCCACAACGCTGCGGCGACCCCTCCCTGTACTGACTCCTCTCTATACGAGCTTCTCTTGGCATAGTCACGTAGCTCCTGCCCACCCCCCACCCCCCTTCTGATATCTCTCGCAAGTTTTATACTCTAATATTTATATGGCTTTTTTCTTCGAAAATTAAAAATAAAAAAAAAAAGGTTTCTTCTGAAAGGCTGACTGCGTCTGTCTATGCGATGGGGGAACACGCGACGTGTGGGTGGAGTCGAGGGGTTCGTCCTGAATCACAGAATCAGAGGGTCACAGTTGTGTCTTGATTTCGTGTGTCACTAAGCATCTCGATCTGATCTGCGTGTGTGTGTGTGTGTGTGTGTGTGTGTGTGCGCGCGCGCGCGCGCGCTTCCTCATAGGACTGTCCAACATGGCGTGCATGCTTCCAGCACCCTGGTGTCTTCCAGTCCGTGATGGGCTGTAAATGGTGCTTGTGGATCTGCATGCCGCCGCGCTGTCGCTGGAGAGTCCAACGTGGGGGTGGGGAGCTTGAGCGCGCAGATTCATGCTCAGTGCTGTCTCCAGGCAGAAAAGGAGACCCTGCGTGGGAGGGGGAGCGGGAGCACGAGTGGGGGCGGGAATCAGGCGCTGGGCGGGCGCTGGGGACTTTTCTGGAGCCCCGCCCCTCCCCACTGGCGACGACGACGGGAGGGGGCTGATGCAGAGGGCGGGCTCGCCTTTGCCTACCCTCCTCCACTGCAGCTGCCTAGGTTTGAGGGAAACAGTGGGGGTGGATACCTGGGAGGCAATTCTCTCGAGACCAGGCCCCTCCCTACCTTGGGCCTCAGTTTCTCGAACTGAAACTTGCCTTCCCTTTCTTTTGATGCGGCAAAGCCTAACTGGAGGGCCCAACCCTTTCTGGATGGAGTCAAAGGAGCTGCTGGAGGAGGTGGCCCTGAAACCCACTCCCCACCTCCCTCCCTCTTCTCCGCAGCTCCTCTTCACTCCCCCTCCCGCTTCCGGCACTGCTAATCCAATTCCCGGGTTGCTGCAGCTCCGGGCAAGTTCGGGAGTCAGGAGGATTGATCCAGAGAATGGCAGAAACAGACCCACGGGTTTTCAGGAGGGTCAGCGAGGGCATGTCCATGGAAAGAGCCAGAAGAGCCATTTCTGGGCTTCCTCCCTTGGATTCTGGTTACCAGTTCTGCCACCTCCTGGTCGGTTGCCATGGAAACCAAACCTTCCCGGCGACTTTGACTTTGCGTGGGAAGGGTGGTGGTGTGTGAGGTTGCTGAGAGAGCAGGGTTTTCTCAGAGCCTGGTGTTGGGGAGGGCGGGGTGCTGGGTGCCTGGGTTCTATTCCGGGCAAGGCAGCAGACGGCCGGGCAAATGAGCAGCTGTGGTTGGTCCCCTAATTGGTGTGTGGGCCCCAAAAGATGAGATGAAATGCACAGCCTCTAGGTTTAGAGGCAGGTAGCCACCCCCACACCTCCGGCCAATGCCTCATGAGGGCGGCACAGGCCAGGGGCTATTTAAAAGGTTTTATTTCTAGTGCAGAGCTGTCCAGGGGCCCGCCCTGTGTATCGCTGGCCTGCTCACTGTAAGGTGTCTTTGTGGGGGTTACAACTTGCTTGAGCAAGCACAGCTTGCTCTGGTGTTTGGCCTGGGGCTTCTGACCCAGGTTGGGCAGACTCAGGACCCCAGACTCAGGGGTAACTTGGTGGGGATGGAGGACACAGGTATGGGCCAGAAAACTGTAGCATGTGGAGGTGCTGGGCAAGTGGGAAGTTGGACATGAGGTAAAAATCAGGGCTTGAATCAGGGCTTCAAGCCGAAGGGTCACAGTGTGGAAGAAGCTGGAAGTAAACAGAGGAAAACAGCCCTGAGAGGGGGCCTGGCCTGTAAAAACCAAATGCATTCACCATGCCCAGACTCAGGTCTGTCAGACCAGTTAGCTTTTGACCCATCTGTCTGTCAGGTGACCAACAGTGGGCGGCCACTCACCAGCAGCCTGGACCACTACAGTGAGAAGAACCAGTCCAGAGTTGACAGAGGAGGCCAGGGGAAGTCTGTTTCAATGCTTTATTGACAGTTGGAAACAAACCCATCAAACTGGAGGTGAGGGCATCCCAGAAGCCCAGGAGGCAAAGGGTTTGCATTTTGTCCCCTCTACTTAAAAAATTTTTAATTAAATGCATTTTAGCAAAAGTGATTAAAAAAGAAAAGGTCAAAGCCCCAGATGTCAGCTAGCAAGGAGGCGGCTCAGGTAAGGAGCAGGCCCTGTACCAGTCTTCTCAGAGAGTAGCCGGAGCTGCCCTGCTCCTTCAGACACAGCTCTGGCCACCCAGACCATCCTCCCTGCCACAAGGGCCCCGGTACCAGCCTCGGCATTCCCTAAGCCCCATGCTCTGGCGACTCTAATTCTGGGTCAAGCCTGGACAGGATCATTCCTTCTCTGGAGCCTTGGAGGGGAGCTCAAAGGGGCTAAGGAGGACAAGAAAGTGACCCTAAGCCAGAGCTGACTCCGAGCTTACTGAGGTCTGGGCCACCCAGTCTGACTCATTGCTTACACAGTGGTGGTGGTTGGGGGGTGGGCAACCCTGTGCCCACTTCTCAACATCCACTTAGCATCTGCACATTTGGCTTGATAATACATTCATGAGAACACAGGATTGGAGCTCTTGCTACCCTATGGTGTGGCCCAGCCCAACCAGAGAAATTCTCTTGCCCCAGAACTGATGCTAGGGAAGGGTCTGCCTTGGCCTCAGGGTTTAGTCTTGAGCAATGGGGCCAACACCTAGGCCATGTTCAGGAATGCTTGAACCTACCATCAAAGCCTCTTTTATTTTGGAGGGGGAAGGGGACCAAAGTAATTTTTTCTTAAAAAATTTTTTTCATATAAAAATAGATCCATTTGCAAAACAATTTCTCAGCCAGGAGGCTCCACCTCCCATTTCCTTGGATGGAGGGGGTGAGGTGTTGGGATGGTCACACTGCAGCCCACACTCCGAATGAGATGCACCAAAGCTCTGGGGAAGGCATGGGGGAGGGGGGCTCAGTTGCAGGGTGGAGATGCGGGGAGCTGGTGCAGAGGGTCCAGGGAGGCCAGGGCATAAGCATGGCAGTGGGCAGGGGGCGGGCCCCACACTGTCGCTACGCCCTAGCTACCTGCCTATGGCTCAGACCTGGGCCACAGTTTGGGAAGAGGAGAGTGGTTGAGACCCTTGGCCTGGGAGACCCTTCCCAGGAAAGCGGGGGGAAGGGTGGGAGCTGCTGCCTGCTTTTGCAGAAGCGGCTCCCAGTGCCACGGCACTAGTAATAAATAACTGCCAGGAGGAAAAGCAGAGGTGACAGCAGAGAAGGGGTGTAGCCCAGAGGGTCACAAGTCCCATGCTATTTTCAGGGCCAGAGACACCACGAAAGAAAAGCACAAATCCAGCACGAGTGACTGACCTAGGGGAAGGCCCACTGGAAAGTGGGGCTGAGAAAGCAGGCTGGGTTCTGTCTGAGACCAGGGCCTCTGGATAACATGGAGGAGACAGGGTTAAGGCAGCAAACACGGACCCTGCTTTGGTAATACCACAGCCAGGGATGGCTGGGCCGGGCTGAGGCCACCCTCCACTGCCCTTTCCTTCTGGCCTCCAGGAGCTGAAGCTGTATGTGATGTTCAGAGAGCAGCAGGCCAGACAGACAGACAGGGTCAGGTGGTGGAGTGGCCACTGCAGAGGGATACCCCCTGGACCATTTAGGCACATGCTGCAGGTGGACAGTCGAGGCTTCACTCAGGAGCAGCAATGGCCACAGAGCCCAGCTTAGCTTGCACGGCCAACCAGCTCCTTGGCTTCCTCAAGGATTGTGGGGACTCCTTCACTTTTCTTGGGCACCTTGGCAGGACTGGCAGCCATGGCATCATCCTTGGTCAGCTCCGAGGCTAGCAGAGATGTGACTGCACACCCAGCTTTCCTGTTGACTGCAAGAGAAGACATGAGATCCTGTCCACAGAAGGCCTGGTTTCTAATCTCTTTACAACTTTACAGCAGGTATTCAGCCAGAAGCCATGCAGTTGTGGCTGCCTTGTCTGGTTCAGAGGTCTTTACAGACCCTTCTGTAAAGACCTCTGAACCTCTGGGTGCAAGTGTGAACGTCTGGACACAGCTGGACAGAATAGGACTGGAGAGACTGGGGAGATGGCCCAGCAGTTAAGAACAGTGGCTGCTCTTGCAGAGGACCTGGGTTTGGTTCCCAGCACCTGTACGGCAACTCACTATCAACTGTAACTTCAGTTCCGGGGAACCCAATGCCCTTTTCTGGCCTCCATGAGCACCAGGCATGCATGGGATGCATACACATAAATGTACGCAAAACATTCATACACATAAAGTAAATAAATCTTAAAAAAAAAGAACTGGGTTTAAGTGTTGGCTATGTCACGTATCAAGAGAAACACAGTACTCAGTTCACTTTTCTCATTAGGTTTGTTAAATATGTTAAAGCTATTACTATTTGTCTAGGCATTCCACAGAAAGCTTGCGGGTGAGACTATAAGGCTGCTTTGGAGGGCTTGTTCTAGCAAAAGGAGTCTTTAGTTGGCCTGGGAGGGCTTCTTGCAGGAGTACAGCCACTAGCTGTCATCACATGCACACCACACTCCCATGCCTTTTTCCAACAACCCAAGACCACATGCCTGGCTCCTTCTCACCTCTTCAGGGTGTACCACATACGTGTGCATGTACACCCTGAGGAGTGACATGATAAAATGTATGCCCGGGAAGGCCAAGGATGATCAAGAGGGAAATCCTAGAAAGAAACCTCAGCCCAAGTCTCTCCTGCTCATTTATAAATTCATACTTGGAACCCCAGTATCCTCAACAGGAAGACAGCTTCTTGGGACTGTGCCTATCACATGATAACCACCTAGTTCCATGCCCTTTTAAGCAGCATGTAGAGACTACTGCATATATACTGAGCAACGTGGGGGTTTCAAAGCCAGACATAAAAGGCTATATATGCTCTAAATCAATGCACAGTTTAGGAAAAGTCCACGGAGACAGACTAACAAGAAAAGATGGCATGGTGGCTCACCCCTGTAACCCCAGTACTCAGGAGGCTGAGGCAAGAGAATTCTTTGTTGAAGGCCAGCACACTCAGAGGCTAGCCTCAGCTATGAGACCCTGTCTCAAAATTTCTAAATAACCAACTAGAGACGGGGAACAAATACCTCCTGCTCCTGCCCAAGTTTTTAATTAAAGCGCGAGTCAGGGGCTGGTGATACAGCTCAACTGAGTAAAGGTACTTGACTCCAAGCGTGGTACCAAGCCACGGCACGTGTGTGCATGTAGGAACGCACATGCACACACATTAAAAACATAAAATAAAAAGTCTATGTCCGTACCTGGAACAACCACCACCACCACCAAGTCAATACCAGGGGCTGGTAACTTGGGAGGGGAGAACCCAAGTTACTGCTACTCCCCAGAGAGAGAGAGGTTTACTGTGATGTGAGCACCAGTTTGTACAAGCACTGAAACATCATCAGAGACTCCATAAAAATACGTACAACTTTTATGCCTAAGTTAAAAAGTAATTGCTAATGGATATGGGGTTTCTTTTGGAGATACTAAAGAAATATTTTAAAATACAACAATGGTGACCGTTGCAGTCTTGTGACAGTCCCTAAACTGTATACCTAAGAATGGTGACATAAGGAAAAAAAAGGGGGGGGGTAGCCCACATCTTTAGTCTCAACACTTGGGAGTCTGGGGGTCTGAAGCAGGCAGATCTCTGTGAGTTCTGGGCCAACCCAGACTACATAGAGAGTTCCAGAAAAGCCAGAGCTCCACGGTGAGACCATCTACCCTGGGACCTCGGGAAAGCAGTAGTGGAGAAGGACCAGGGACAGGCACAGCACCACCTACGGAAGACTGCAGGGCGGGCCAGTCCAGAGGGGCCACAACAAGGTGTCGGCTCTGCATCAGCAAAAAGCTTTAGGTAGGCGGAAGCCAAACTGGGAAGGAAAGAGAGCCCAAGCCTTGCCCAGGACTGGCAGTCTCAGGGCAGAGCCATGACCCAAAGCTACTGTTTTTACACACGCAGAGGCTGCCTATAGGTCGGGCAGGGAGCACACAATCCGTCCACAGATTACCAACTTAGAGGTTTCCTCCTCCTGCTCCTCCTCTTCCTCCCAAGGGCACAAAGAGTTGTCTACCAAGAGGAGAAAGAACAGTCAAAATCCTGCTGACAGCAGGTGGGGGTAGCCAGGTGCAGATCACAGGGGTGTGTGTGTGTGTGTGTGCGTGCGCGCGCGCGCGCGCGCGCGCGAGAGAGAGAGAGAGAGAGAGAGAGAGAGAGAGAGAGACCGAGACCTGCACCCTCAGGGGCTTCACCAGGTGAATTAACTTGAACTTGTGGAGACAAACCACTGCCTTTGTGACTGACATGTGAGGGGGTGTGTGCTTTCCCGACTTCCCCTCAGTCTCTCCCCAGAGGTGCACCTTTCCACTCTTCTGAAGCACCCCCTTCTCCAGGACCCCACTGTCACACCAGGAAAACGGTGGTTCAGTCTTTCTTCACTGCAACTACACAGGAGCATGTACACACGTGTGCACATCCATCTAACTCCAGTGAGTGAACTCACACAACGGACTCGAGACAGTGAATACCCGCAATGGAGCAGCACAGGTGTCGAGTTCCAGGGCAGCACGCCTAAGCTTTGCTTTCTTTGACTGCTTCCTCTAAGACTCCCTGTTGTACCCAATCCAACAGTGTTTCAGGATATTTATATACTCACTAGATTTGATTCATTACATGTGTCCTAAGGACCCGAGGAACATGGCAGACAGAGAAAACCCGCACAATTTCCTCTTTAAGCCTTGAAAGTAAGTACATTAGGGATGGACACGAAGTGATCCACGGTTAAGAACGAGAAAGCTTGGGCCGGGCAGTAGTGGTGCACGCCTCTAATCCCAGTACTCGGGAAGCAGAGCCAGGTAGATCTCTGTGAGTTCAAGGCCAGCCTGGTCTACAGAGTGAGTTCCAGGACAGGCTCCAAAGCTACACAAGAGAAGCCCTGTGTCAAAACTCCCTCCACCCCCCAAAAAAGAAAACTCTTGTTCCAACTGATGAAAAGAACCCCAGCATCCCAGTTTCTGATCACCATTCTGCTGAGCAGACTAAACAATCAGGAAAATTGACTTCCTCCCTCTGTTAGACTACCGAGTCCTTATAGTAGCCACAGAAACAGGTCAGTGTTTGTACAGGATCTGGAACAATTACTAACTAGGAGAATGGGCCCACAGAATTGGCTGTAGAGGTGGATCTGAGAAAATGGTCAAAGCCAGAATCCTAGAAGGTAGGAATAAACAAGATAAGCATCTAAGGAAAACCTGCGAAGTAATACTAAGAGCACAGCTCAATTAGGAAAAGTTCAATGGTTCAGGAAAAAAAATCCTGAGACAGGAGCTCTGAACTACTGCTAAAGAGGAAGTGCTCTTGTTAACCGGCTTCCTCAGGGAAGAGGGAACTAGGACAGATGGGACAATCATTATCATCCTAATAACTCATCACTGTCTGAGACTTCACTAATTATACCTCTTGTCCTAGTTTCACAAAACTGGGGAGAGCAGTGATAAGGAACACTCTTTCCAGACAAGGGGTCATCAGAAAACCTCCCCGGGTACAATTCTACCATCCCCACAACTCTCTTTGTAATAATCCCATGACAGAGTTTTCTGGCCCAAATAGAGGGCACTGTCATTTCCTGTCCAATAATACAGGCTTAGTGGGAAGTACCCTGGACTTGGACTCACAAAAGCGGGATACAGTTCTAGCTTTATTATTAGGTTTGGGATCATAATTTTTCTAATTTTTTTTTCTGTGTAACCCTGGCTGTCCTGGAACTGGCTCTGTAGACCAGGCTGGCTTGAACTCAGAGATCCACCTAGGATAGGCAGGGTAGATACTAATCAATAGAAGGGTCTTTAGTCTTCTCAAGGCTCTAACACAGACCTTGATTAGCATAAATGGAGTTTATGCTAATCTGGGAGACAGCAGAGGAAGACTCCAGAGAGATTTCTTTCTTGACTTTCATTCTAGTATGTAAGTGGCCTACGTACAATTCAGGCTTGGAGATAAAGTTGAGTCATTAAAACCACAAGCTGACTCAATCACAGCTGGAAATAGCAGCTGTAATACAATCACAAGGATTCTTCCCCTTGACACTCAAGCCATTGTTCTCCCACACTGCAGACCACAGCAATTTACATGTTCCTTTAATGAACCAGCCCTGATAGTAACTCTCCTCTTCCAACTCTTCAATGGGTCTTTGTATCCCGGTCACTCCTTCATGTCTCTAGAGACTGGAAGACTTTAACATTCCTGGAGGCTCTAGGGAAAAAGCTAGTGTCTTTGAATACAGACAGCTGCCTCTGGGAATGGGAAAGACTGAGGCAGATAAGCCTGACAGTTTTCTGGTTCTTTGGCTCTCAGCACTTGGTCATGAGCAGTGGTTCTCAATCTCTGGGTCTTAACCCATTTTGGGTGTGTGTGTGTCGTATATCAGTTATCCCGCATGTCAGATATTTACATTATGATTCATAATAGTAGCAAAATTGCAGTTATGCAGTAGCAACAAAGTAACTTTAGGGTTGTGGTCACCCGTAACATGAGGAACCATGTTAAAGGGTTGCAACGTTAGGAAAGGTGAGAACCACTGGTCATGAGGAGAGTCAAGAGGTAGCCAGACAAAGGACAGAGCAGCGGGGTCCAGCAGCCCTGGAGGGAGCTTGAGACCCCTGGAGCCTCTGTACTTAGAGAATGGGGCCTTCAAAACTCCAACCTTTTCTTTGAAGAAAAGATCCTAACTCCTTGGCAGCCACTTTGATGCCATTTTCTGTGATGTTGGATGTGAGGCCACACCCTTTAGATGATGTGAAAGTACCCAAGTCTAAAACGCGCGCAGAGTAACTAGATGTATTTTAGAGAGTCTCCCAGATGTTTGGTGAACCCAGTAAACCAGATCAAAAAGACAAGATTACAAGCTGACTTAAACTATGCAGTCCTTGTTTTCAACTTCTTTTAATTTCAGTATTTCCTATAAGTCCCCTAGAATTGTCTTTCTAACTGGGAGATAGTACCCTGACTAACTCAGTTTCTCTATTGCAAAGGTAGTTCTGACAAAATCCTTTTTTTTTCCTTTACAACCAAGTCCTGGTTTTTCACTAGGAAAGCAGTAGATAATGGGGCATCCCCAGCAGAGGGAAGTCACTGACGCCTGGCTGCTTGTACAGGAAGCATCTGGGTCTCTAGTACAATTCCCAGGAAAAGGCTTAAGAGGGAATTCCCCACCAAAGTCTGAAGCAGGCTGGGCTTAGTTAAGAGGGTCACGGAAGACAGCGAGATGCATGGTACTTTTGATGGGCAGGAAACAGTGCTGAGAGAACCTCTACAAAAGCTCAACACCAAAGAGTACTGTTGGCTCTAAGACTGGATGTCCTAACCAGAGTTCTACGCCCTTCACACCTGCTTCTCCTCCCTGGAGACCCTGCACTCTCCAGCACAGCTTACATGGGTGGTGTAATCTGAGCCCGCTGGGCCCTCCTTCCAGGTGTGCCAGCCACTAGAGGTCCCAGAGACATCAGCGCAGCCATCTTCTAAGAGAAGCTCCTATCAGATGTGTCTACAGAGCTGCCAGCAAATGGGGACAGGCTTCAACTCCGCAGAGATGCTTCTGCTGTAGCTCTTACCCTCTGACAGAAAGGAGCCATCACATCTAGGCCTCTAAAGGGTCCTAGTGAGGACTTCCTAATGTGCGAGGAGGAGGCCCAGCTAATCCATTCTCAGTGCACAGAATGGGATGTTTCTAAAGCCCAGAACATCACTTGCTCTTTAGGCCTCCACTAGCATGACCAGGACCAGAGACCCCACACCCCCTCCAACACCCAACTGGGTTCCATTTGTTTACTTACCTTGACGGGGCCCTCTCTTTCGTCGGAATGCTGCCCCTGACTGCAGAGCTTCTAGAAGACTGTCCATCACACCTGTCTCATCTCCCTCTGTCATGAACAAAGACAGAGGTGTAAATTCTTCAGCCAGACCAGCATAGCAAATATCAAGCTGCACATGAACTGCATAGCTGGAGCATGGCTCTCCCTCCCTCACACTGGCCGACAGCTCAAAACAGATAAGAAAGCTTCAACCTCTCAAGTCTCACAGACTCTTGTTTACTTTACTTGTGTTTGTTTTTTTTTTTTAAAATGCCTGAACACTCACTGCCTATTAGTTCGAACCCTGAGGTACTTATTGCAATGTCATCCTACCCACATTAATCAGGACCAGCACACAGTCTCCTAGGACTGCCTAACTCCAAGATCTGAGTAAGCAGAGACACAGTTATGAACAAAAGGCAGCTGTGCCAGGTAAGATGACTGTGCCTGTAAGCCCAGCACTCGGGAGGTGGAAGCAGGAAGATGTGGAGTTCAAGGCTAGCCTGGGCTACGTAGGAAGAATTGTATGTGTGTGTGGGGGGGCGGGGTTTGCAAAGCACCTATTGTAACTATTATCAGCCCCAGTGTTTCACTCCCGTTTGTATGAACCACTGAGGGCTCAGGCTTCAGAGGAGGGTTAAAGGAAGAGAGCCCACTGGTCAAGACTCAATTTCACGTAACTACTGCTTACAGTGGTTGCATCTTGCTGAAGACAGCTCTGCATGTAAAAGCTGAAAGCAGCTTGGCTGGAATGCAAAGAGTTAATGCAGAATCCCAGTTCTAGCCAGGCTCAGTTTCCATGGCAACAGCTCAGGATAGTGAAATCTGACACTGAAATCCCAAGGAGCTGGTTGGCTACTAGCTGAAGACTAGGGCCCATTACTGCCGGCGCCACCTGCTGTCTGAACATCACCAGTGCAGCTGACCTACATTCAATTTCACTTGCTTGACCCAGGCACTCGGAATAGGGTAAGGTCCACTGCGCCACCTGCTGGCTGGGCTATAGCTCTTATCCCAAATGCTCTTTGGGACTCCACCTTGCTCCCATTACATCCTATGCAATGTAGAGGGGGGAAAGCCCTGGAGGGAAATGAGGGATACTTGGCATGAACTTTTAAGTGTTAAGAGAACAAAGTTGTTGGCCTAAACGCAAGTGAGGTAAGGTCAAGGAACTACTCCGAAGGTCTCTGGGCTCAAACCTTGTTAGTCTCTACTGTTAGTGCTCAGCAAATTTTTAAGACTTGTCAGCCCCAAGAACCCCTCACTTCAGAGGCTCACAGCCCTTCAGATCAGCACAGGGTCATGTGCTGCATATGCGGCATTGACTGTATTTCCGCTGCCCTCAGGAGTGGTGGGGGGCAGGGATCCTCCGCAGGAAAGAAGCAGAGACAGGAAACGGAGGGCCAGTAATTGAGACCATATGCTCAAACAAAGACATGTTTCTGCTGGAGAGAGAGAGAGGCCAGCTTTTCAGCCCCTTCCAGAAGTTCAATCCATTTATGATCTCAGATGTGCATACAACATGCTAAGTGGTAATAGGAACACTGTACTGGTGGAATAAGAAGAAAGGAGAGTAACTATAAGATGGGAGGAGTCAGGGAAACGTTTTGGGAACCCAAAATATTGAGCATCAGGAATGAGAATAGGTCAGGGAACATTTAGGACAGGCAGGCAGAAGGAAAGAGTAGGTGTGACAGCAATTCCCAAATCACAAGGGCGGTGAGACTTATTACAAGAGCCAGGAAAGGAGAGGAAAAATTAACCATGTTAAAATCCAGCACCAGGAGCTGGGATGCAGAAGGCTGACAGAAACCATTTGCCATGGCCTACGTTTAGACGGGGCGCTCCACCTGGCTAGCTCTAGGTTCTAGACAGACGCCTTCCAGTGCCCTCCCAAGTCGCACCTGCGTTCATGTCTATGAGCTGCTCCCGCTTCTGCTGCTTCTCCAGCCGCTCCTTCTCGGCCTTCTCCTTGGCTAGTTTTGCTCTCCGCATCTTTTCTTCTGTTTCCCGGCGCTTCTGATTCTCCTTGACTGCTTGCTGAAGCATGGAGCGGAGGGGAGGAGACATGGACACACAACGCCAGATGGAGGATATGTGGGCACGTGTAAACCCACCAATAGCCATTAGGAACCCCATGAAAAGTTAGCAGTTCACCCTTGCTCACCAAAAACATATTTCTAAAGTTGTGCAGGTCCATAAAGAATTCTTCCACAGACAACTTCTTCGGGTCAAAGACGAAGTAGTCACCCAGCTCCTTATATAGCGTCTCCATGTTGGAGTGCATCATCCGTAGCTTGTTATACTGTTCCTGTGCATCCTTCACAAAGCTGTGCAGCCAGGGAGTAAAGGACCAAGACCAAGACGCAGACCCAGGCCAGAGGACCAGTCAAAGATGTAGAATGGGCTGTGCAGCGAACGCCATATAGTACTACTCATGACAGAGAACAGCACTCTAAATATTCAGTGTAACAAACCATAAGCTACGGCTTACCTATACAATAGAAACTGCACAGACTACTATAGACACGAGGCTGAGACATGCAGATAAAGCTACATGATGCAGTTTCTGTGTCAAATAAACAATGAGTGTCAATCAGAACGTGGTGGCGGTTACCTCTGTGAAAGGGTGTCAGCAACGGGGCACAGAGTAGGGACTCGGGCTTTTAGTGAAGGTGGTATGTTCGTAATGGGAACGGGCACAGAGCAGAGACTCGGGCTTTTAGTGAAGGTAGAATGTTCGTAACGGGAACGGGGCACAGAGTAGGGTCTCAGGGATTTGTAGTTTACCTGCAAGGTTTGCTTTCCCTTCTACAGTAAGTTTAAAAATTGTGTATTTACTGGAAAGAAAAAATTCAAAGGTGAAAACTGAGTATTGCCATCATCTATCTATCCTACTCCCCAGAGAAGACTTTCCTTTCCTTGGGATCAAGTCCTCTAAAGAAAGGATATAGTCATTTTCTCAACAAACTTGTCCTTTTCGTCTGTGGCAGCTGGGAAATTCTGAACATCACGTTCCACATCAGCAATCTGTTTCTTCATCTGATCTAAGTTCTTCTGCAAGTTCTCAGCAGAAACTAGAGGAGAGAAAGAGAAGAACTCACTGGCATCCCGAGCTCTCTTAGCCTCCCTTGCAGGCACCCCGCTTAGGTCCTTCCCTGTCTCCTCTATGCTCGCTCCTCTAGCCTGCACATGCCCTCTGGCTCACACGCTGGTTTGGATCTTTGCAGTGAAAGCGTGATTATTTGATAACTGAACTTGCTACCTTCACACTCTACACAATACTAGCAGAAGCAGACTTCCCATCATTTCAAAAGCACCCATGGGATCCCCTGAGACCTTGGTCTCGTTTGTTTCAGATAACAGGGTTTCAGAGGGAGACATAGGTAGGAACCCAGAAGCAGGGTGGCCATCTGTCTCATTTCAAGCAGACAATGAGGCTGATTGCCTGTCAGTCTGTCTTTCAGAATGACAAAAGCTGTGGACCTAGCCTGACAGCACCTGCCTTCCAGCATGCGTGTGCACGTGCGTGCGTACGTGTGCGTGTGGTATTCCAAGGAAAGGAAGAGGCACTTCCACTTATACACAGGCTGTCTTCAGCCTCACACTCCTCTCTGAACCTTAGACACCTAAATACCTAAACTCCTTTATTCTCACTTAAAACCACTGAACTGAAAATGATTTCAAGTCTATACAGTGTCCTATTTCTTTCCCCATGTGGAGACTTTTAGGACTCAGGACCACCTTTTTAAGAACAATTTTCAAATTACATTTGTTGATTTGTGTGTGTGTTTGAGTGCCATGGGTTTGTGGGGGGTGGGGAGGGTGGTTTAGGTCAGGTGACCACTTGTGAGAGTTGGTTTTCTCCTTCCACTGTGCCGGTCCCAGGGACTGAATTCAGGCTGGAAGGCTTGGCAGCAAGCACCGTCTAGCTCTGCCCTGCGCTGCCTTACCTCGGCTGGCTTTCTCTACGTGGGCAAGCTCATCAGGAAACTTGAGGACATCGGGGTAGTCATTCTCACATAACTCAGCCAAGAAATGCAACAAAGTCATCTTCTGATCTGTGGACTTGGTGTCTCGGAGCTTGGGGTGAGAGGAGAAATTGTGAGTCTTGACTTGCCCCAAACCCCCTTAGGCCAATACTGGGCTCCAGCAGCCTTCCCCCGGCCATCCTGTCCAATCCCATGGCTCACCTTACAGAGGAAGCTGATATTGAAGCCAAAAGCACCAGCATTCCGGGAGCCAGCGTTCATATAGTTTCCAACGAGCAGTGTGATCTCCAGGAGGCTGGAGAAGCTCTTGCTCTTTCGCAGCTCCTCACATGCAGCAGTGACAGACACGATCTCGGGCTTGATATTCTCAACTTGCTCACTGAATTGCAGCTTGAAGAGAATGGCATTGAGGCGAGGCCGAAGACGGGGCACTGTGCCCATCTAATGAGGAAGGCAAGAAGTTCCATTATGGAGCTAATGGAGAGAGACATCAAAAAATACAAGCTGAGCCTCCTCTGGGAGGTTGGGGCTCCAGGGCAAGGAGGTGGAGTTGGGGAGAGACACAGAGAAATTGATTGACTAAAAGATTCAAAATAGATCAGAGGCAAGGAGCAAGCGCCCAGGCTGGTCTCAGAGGGAAGGGAATAAAGGAGTTGGAAAAGACTGCTATTGGCCTCACTCACCACCACGCCAAACTGCTCTGATTCAGCCAGATCATCATACTCATCCTTCAGTTCAGAAAGCATTTTTAACTGCTCTGGTTCTGGCATCTGTTTAATGAGGTTCTGGAAAAGAGGGTAAATGCATGTGGGGTAAGCTGAAAGCCTGACTCTAAGTTCCACACTCTGCCCAGTGAAAATGAAGGAAGCACGGGGCAGGACAGCCTGTGAAATGGGAAGATTCCTGAGTCTGCTGAGTTAACCTGCCCACCAGGGACACAGCTTCAGCCAGCATTTTGAGTCAAAACTGCTTGAAGGAGCTCTTGCTTACCAAGCGAGGAGGCGAGGCTGGTGGACAGCTGTGCGGAGGAGCCAGCTCTGGCCAGACTTCCCTGTTACTTACCTGGATCATAGATTCAGTGAGAACAGCCTCATTCACCTCCAGGATAACGTTCTTGATCTCTTGATAGGGCATGCGGAAGGAACCCAAAAAGATTGCTGCCAGAGAATGAGAGAGAAAGACAGGTTCTTCTTTTCTTCTTCCCCATTCCAGACCGCCCTGGAAGCCCACTCGACCTAGGCAGCTGAAATCCGAGCCCGAGTCCAGTGTTCCAGCTCCTACTGTCACCCATTCCCACACACAAGCCACATCACGCCACACAGCAACTCCACTGCTCTGCACATCGACAGACACTGTGCCTGTGATCACAGACTCTCAGAGCCACCCACCTCCTTGTTTAGATCCCCTCTCCTACAAAGCTGCCATTGCCTTGACCTGTTCGTTCTTAAAACAGCCAAGCCCCACTCCGAAGAAGCACACCTGTACTTCCAGCTCCCCCACGTTCTCATCTGACCCCTCAGTTTTGACAAGAGTCCTCACTCGGGGCTGGAGAGATGGCTCAGGGGCTAAGGCACTGGCTGCTCATGCAGAGGACTTGGGTTGGTTCCCAGCTCTACATGGCAGCTCACACCATCTGTAACCAGCTCCTACAGATCCAGCCTTCTCCTCAGGCTCTAGGTACACATCCATACATGCTCTAGGTAAAACACGTACACACAGAAAACCAAGTCTATAAAAGCAGCTCTTTCCCTTGACTACACACCCCAGCTTCTCTACCTGACCCTAGGTAGCCCTGGCTGTCCTAGTGCTGGGATTAAAGGTGTGTGTTACCATAGCCGGCTCTTAGGTGACCCTAACATCCTTTTCCTTCAGCATATGCAGTCAAGTCTATCTTAAAACAAAAAATCTTGTTTGACTCAATGTTCTCTTCTATTATCAACATCTGTTTTTGTCCTTTATAGCCTTCTGAAAACACAGCCATCTATGGTTTTCACTATTAGAACTTTACCCTCCCAAAGCCAGCGAAAAGACAGCAGTCAGCGGGGGGCACTCTAGAGAAGTGTCACCTGACTCAAATCCACTAGCCACTCTGTGCTTGGTGAACTTGCCTCATTTAGCATACTGGTCTCCACCTTCACTCAAGTATCACTGTCCTTCATCTCCTCAACCACCACATCCCAGGAAACTCTGTCTTCCTCTCCTGTGCCTTGCCTTTTCGTCCTCATTACCTTGGCCTTAGGTCCTGATCATTTCATTAGTTTAAAACAGCTCATCTTCCTTCCTACTCAGAAACTGAGCCTGAAAATCATTGCCAAAGCAGCCTTTCCAAAGACTATATAAGGCTCTAACAGTCACTTTCCTGATGAAAATCTCCACAGTAACTCCCACAGTTGTGACTGCAGAACTGTCTGCAGTTCTGACTGTCCGAGTCATCTCAGGCACATGGGCTCACCCCTCCTGAAGGAAGCTAGTCCTCCCTTCACTTAATTCCTGCACAGGTCACCTTCTTGAGACACTCCTGGCCTTCCTTCAGCACTCCCCATGTGGCATGGAAGCCGTCGTCGTGCTAGTGCTTGCCTAGGTATTCTAGCACACCCTCAGGGCGGCAGTCACCTCCAGCCACTTTTGTTTCTGTCTCCACAGACACGTGGGTCAAGAGGACAGAGACTGTCTGACTTGGCTTTGCAGTTTTAGGATTAAACAGGCACTTCTGCCTCCTAGACTGTTCTACTCGGGAACAGTCTAGTCCTATGCCCTCCTCCCTAGTTCTGAGGAACTGAAACAGGGTCTGGGATGCGCTATGCTAACGACAACCCCAACCCTCAACTCTGGCTTTTTTCCCTTTCATTTTGCAGAGTGAGCACAGATTTATTAAGGAAAAGTGAGAAAGAACTCACATGAGTGGAAGGGGTCATGAGGAGAAAGAATGGCCCCGATTCCTTTCTAAGCTGTTTCCCATTTTAGTACCATTCCACTGAGAATAATAATGTATTACATTATAGTCTTTTTCTATCATTTTCTAAAATAACAATTCACTCACACATTATGTTCCTAGACACACTCTTAGGAACAGAAATTAACATTACTTTAGTCTCCATAAAAAGACATCACTAGCCAGACAGTGGCAGTGCACGCCTTTAATCCCAGCACTCTGGAGGCAGAGGCAGGCGGATCTCGTTCAAGGCCAGCCTGGTCTACAGAGTTCCTGGAGAGCCAGGACTGTTACACAGAGAAACCCTGACTTGAAAAAACCAAACCAACCCCCCCATCCTCCCCACCCCCCCCACCCCCCGGCCACAAGACATCACCACAGACTTTCATTTAGCAATACCTATACATATTAAACTAAGGTTACATGGTCAAACATAATATAAAAACTATGCCTGCTTCTGAAGCATATACTACAACTGGAAGGGTCAGCATGGTCTTGTGCAAGAAGAACATGCACATTTATGGAGCATTACTTAATTTTTAGTGTGACATTTTTGTTTGTTTGTTTGTTTGTTTGTTTTTTTTAAAATTTATTTATTTATTATGTACACTGTTCTGCCTGCATGTATGGCTGCAGGCCAGAAGAGGGCACCAGATCTCATTGGTGGATGGTTGTGAGCCATGATGTGGTTGCTGGGAATTGAACTCAGGACCTCTAGAAGAGCAGCCATTGCTCTTAACCTCTGAGCCATCTCTCCAGCCCTGTTTGTTTGTTTTTTGAGATAGCATTTCTGTAGCCCTGGCTGTCTTGGAACTAGCGCTGTACCAGGCTGGCCTCAAACTCACAGAGATCCGCTGCCTCTGCCTCCTGGAGCAAAGGGGGGAAATGTATGTATGTATGTATGTATGTATGTATGTATGTATGTATATGTATGTATGTATACATACACACACACAGACTTACTGTCTCACTATATCACTCTGAATATACCTATAAATATGTATACTAGTTTGGGTGACTTTTGGACAAGTCATAACATTTGAATCTTAAGTTTTCTCATGTGGAAAAATAAAGACAGTAACTATAAGATTATGAACAAGTTTATGGAATATATACTCTTTCATTTATACAACACATGACTAACATGTACCTAATAGAACCTGTCACATGTCAGACTCTCAAATAATTGTGACCAAAAGAATTAGTATCTGTATTACTCAGCATAAAGGAGGTACAGATTGATAGCTGAAATGAACAACAAGAAGGATAACATTGATCTTAACCACAAATCAGGCATTAACTGTATCAACTTGTGTGACATGCTCTCCAACCTGAGAGTTTTTCGCTCCTGGAGTTCTCAGTCCCGGTGGCAAGTCAGAACAGAAGAAACACAGTACCATATGCTTTACTCTCTGGGGTCACCATCCTACTCTGACAAGCACAAGATTTACCTCCCTTCTTCTAAATGTAAATAATTTGAGTTTAACTGAAGCCACAACAGCAGCAGCGTTCCTTATCAGAGGCAGAAGGAAACTCACTGAGGCCGAAACCCTGCGGGAGACATCCTGTTGACATAAGGAAAAGCAGGACTTGGAAAGAAGTTTGCCAGACATGGCAGTGTCCACTAAAACCCCAGCACTCAGAGGCTGAAGCAGGAGGACTATCAATAAGGACAGCCAAGCTACATGGCAAGACCACACCTCAACCCTTCCCAACCCTCAGGAAAATAAAATAAAAGGAAACTCCTTAGCTCTATAACTAGACACATTCCTAAAACCTTCACCTGCTTCCTTGACATAAAGCTGGATACCTGTGAACCCTGCTGTGCTACTGAAGCATCTGATGAGATACTGAAGCCTCACCGTGCACTGCCTGGCACAGAGCAGGAATTCAACAAGAGGCATTTCACACGGAGGGACCTTAGACTCACACAAAGTACGTTCTTACAGGAACACCTTCACAATATTAGAAGCTGCGATCACAAGAATTACTCACAGAGATTCTGGGCTGTCTTTGAGTCCAACACTTTTAGCTCTTTTACTTTTTTCTTTTGCACAGATTTCTTTTCTTCTCCACCTTCTTGATCCTTCTTGGCTAGTGAGGGAAATCAGAAAAACACCATTAAGAATAAACCACCTTTGTGCAATTACTGCATTAGAACTGTCCTGGCAGAACAGCCTTTACTTCCTCTCTGTCTCTCCATTATACTCCTTCAAGGCTAATCTCATTAGCCACTCTTCTATAGCTAAATGCCCCCATAAGAATATCTCCTTTGCATTTCTTCTCTTCAATAGTTATCACAATGCTTTCCTCCTTAAATAGAATCTACCTACAGAGCACAGCTGTCTGCAAAGAACCAAGAGTAAATATTTTAGGTGTCAGAAGCCATACGGTCTGTCTCTCAACTTACAAAGTTATTTTTATTTTATGTGTACCGGTGTTTTACCTACACGTCTGTCTGTGCACTGTGTATGTGCACTGACCTTGGAGGCCAGAAAAGGGTGTCAGATCTTCTGAAACTGGAGTTACAGACAGCTGTGAGCTGCCATGTCGGTGCTGGGAATCGAACCCAGGTCCTCTGAGAGAGCAGCCAGAGCTCTTAGCTGCATCCCACCCCCATCTCAATTTTTCAGATCCACTATTGCAGCATGAATGTCTGTGCTCTAAGAAAACATCATTCATTCAAAAACATTCTGTGATATAGCTTACTAACCCCTATACTAAGGGTCTCCTACAGTTACCCTTTTATGCCTAATAAAAAGTTTAACTATCTCTCAAAATCTGGATTGAACACGACTTTTGCTGTAAAAATGGTTTTAGTTTCTCCAATTGCTGATGATCTCTTAATTACTGTTGAGTTTGAACAAAAAGAAATATAATAAACTCCATTCCTCCACACTCCTCTTCACTATTCAAAGCAACATACCCACCCCTTCCCACAAGTCTTCCCCAATAAATGTACCCACTCTCTGCTTTGACAGACTAATTTTCACTCTATTTGTGATCTGTACCTTATTCAATATTTTTCAATGTTTCATGAAATATATGTATCACCCTGATTTTTTTTAAAGCCTGTGTTCTTTCAAGTTCGGAGATTTTCTCATCTCATTTCAAATTCTCATCTCCATTTTGAGCTTTAAGGATACAGGCAAAATATTTCATTACCATTTCTTCAAGAGTTAACTATAGCAAAATTCACTACAAATGAACAGCAATAGCTCTTGAGGAGGGCTGAGCAGTGCTCAGAAAAGGAAAAAGGGACCACACTGGGTAGACAAAACTGTAAAATATTGTCGTATACTGAAAGAAATAGGGACTGTACTGGCAGATATAACTGTAAAATACTGTCGTATACTGGAGGAAATAGGGACTATACTGGCAGATATAACTGTAAAACACTGTCGTATGCTGGAGGAAATAGAGACTGTACTGGGTAGGTATAACTGTATAATGTAGTGTCAGCTTCTTAGCCATATAGCAATAGCTCTGAAAGTTCAGAAACTAACAAAATCAATTGTTTCTGAGTATAAGAATGGGATTCTTGAGCACAAGAGTGGGAGAATACTTTCGAACATAACACCCCTTTTTGATTGTTTTTGAGATAAGATTTTACTAAATAGCTTTGGCTGACCCAGAACTCTTACTCTATAGATCTGACTGGCCTCAAACTTTCAACAATTCTCCTACCTCTGCCTTCCAAGTAGTATGATTACAGACATGTACACTAAAGCCTGGCTATAACATACACCATTTTTATAACATTAGACCACGTACAAAATATTTGGTAAAAATAATAAAACCAGAGCAATAACCAAGTTCTATGACAAAAGGCACACAACTATTAAAAAATCATCCTTGGGCTGGGCACAGAGGCCAGCGGTAGAGCACAAGGCCTAGTACCGCAGGGGAAATGCCATTTATCCCTTTGACCTAGGAGTTCCAATTTAAGAAATCAAACTGTTACATATACAAAATGTCATTAATTCAGCAATAATTACTAAGACCTTAACTTGTGAAGGGTAGTGCTGGGCAATGGAAAATCACAAATGAAAAAGACAAATTGACAAAATGAAGACAAGAATGTGCTTCATTCTAATAAAGTGAAACAGACCCCGCCTTCCAACAGATGAAGTATTATGTCAGATGATGGTAAGTGCTGTGAAAAGAAAACCGAGCAGGGAAGAGAACAGAGATTGGGCAGAGAGACTGATCAAACCTTAGGCGAATGGCTGGGGAATGGCTGACTGAAAAGATGGCATTTGAGTAAAGACCATTAGAAGGGAGGGGATGAGCCTGTGTTAGCTACTCTTGGTTGTCAACTTGACTACATCTGAAGTCAACAAAAATCCAGGCTGCTGGGCACTGTTTGTGAGGGATTCTCCGTTTCCCCTCGGTTTTGTTTTGTTTTTTGTTTTTTGTTTTGAGACAACCCTGGTTGTCCTGAAACTCAACTCTGTAGACCAGGCTGGCCTCAAAGTCAGAGACCCACTTGCCTCTATCTCCCAAGTGCTGGGATTAAAGGTGTGTGCTACCATGCCCAGAAGGTTTACATTTTATGTTTCCAATTTTTTATGCCTAGAGATCTCTGTAATTTGACATATGTACCATGTAAGTGCTTAAAAAGTCAATAAAATACAGCAGTACAAAGCTAAAATAGCTGGGTGGTGGTGGCGCACGCCTCTAATCCCAGCACTCGGGAGGCAGAGCCAGGCAGATCTTGGTGAGTTCGAGGCCAGCCTGGGCTACCAAGTGAGTTCCAGGAAAGGCGCAAAGCTACACAGAGAAACCCTGTCTCGAAAAACAAAAAAAAAAAGCTAAAATAGAGTGATACTCTGGAAACATGTCAAGTGACTACAGAAATAAAGAAATGTCATGAATAGGTGCGATATATTTAGAGTACTAAAACCAACTCACATCAATGAACAAAGCATGGTCTAATTCAGGGAGTGGTTAACTTCTGATTAAAGTACTATATAGATGGTGTGCTGGCTAGTGTTGTCTCCTTGACACAAGCTGGAAGCTAGAGTCGCTAGGGAAGGGGAAATCTCAGTTGAGAAAATGCCTCCAGCAGATTCGTCAAGCTCGTGGTGCTTTTCCTTGACTGACGGCTGTGCGGGAGAGCCCAGCTCACTGTGTGCAGTACCACCCTCGTGCTGACGGTCCTGAGTGCTGTAAGAAAGCAGGCTAAGCAAGCCATAAGGAGCAACAGTGTTCCTTCAAGGCTTCTGTTCAGTTCCCGCCTCCACGTTCCTGCCCTGGAAGGGAAAATGAGTCATTCCCTCCCCAGGTTGCTTTTGGTCAGAGTGTTTCATCACATAGTAGAAGTCCTAACTAAGGCAGATGACAAGTAACTTAGGTTAGTTAGCACATCTACTCAGTTCTGGTTAAAATATGAAAGTAGCGATCCATAACTATTTGAATAGATGGCTGTGATCTAAAAAAACTTTAGTAACTGGCTACAATCGCTGATTCTTGATCTGACCCACGTGCTGGAACAACTGGCTTCCGCTTCAACAACTGAAGAAAAGAGAGGCTACGTATTTGAGAAATCAAGCGGAGCACATGGGAGAGTTTAAAGGGAAGAGAAGGAAGGGGAAATGATGTAATTATATTATAATCTCAAAAAACCAAAACAACCCTTTTCAGTCATAATAAGAAATGAAGGTGGTAGAAAGATGGGGTGGGGCTGGTGAGACGGCTCCATGGGTAACGGCCCTGCCCCCTGGAGAGAACCCACATAGCGGAAGGAGAGAACGAGTCCTCACAAGCTGCCCTCTGGTCTCCACATGCGTGCCGTGGTCCATGTGCACTCCTCCACCACACACAGTCCATGTCTTACACCAAAGACAGTCTGGCATGACATTAAAAATATTCCAGTATAATGAAAATAATCAAATAAATATAGAAAGAAATGACAACTTAAAAGGGAGTGATCTAAAAATGCTGGTTTAGTGTTCAGAAAAGCACTCTGACGACACGGAACAGCTGCTAAGAAGTGGTGAACTGGTCAGCGAAGCAAAGGGACCAAACACTGGAGGACGGCTTCAACACAAATCGGAGGGCTGTGGGGAAGGAGGGATCTACTTCTGCCCAAAGGAAGGAGCGCGTACGGCTCTCCTCAGTAAGCTGGGAATTCAAAAGGATTCATCTGGAGTGTGAATGTGAACCTAGAAATGGTAAGCCAGGGCACACCAGGCAGTTCCCAAACAACAGACACGCCCTGGCACAGCTCAACCCTACCTGCCTCAAGGTGGTCACCCTCACCCTTCCAGAGAATTCTGCAAAACCTTTTCCAGACAGTGTTAACATCGTCTGCAGTTGCTACAATTTTTTATGTACAATATGTAGCCTTAAATCAGATTTACAAGGTATGCCAAAAAAAAAAAAAAATTTATCCAAATTCGAAGGGGAAAAAAAACTGATTAACAGACACAATATTACCCAGATAATGGAGCAAGTACACAAGGATTTATAGTCATACTTAGTCATTCGTGGTGGAGGCTCGTACCTTGTGCTGGTTGGTTTTTATCAACCTGACACAAACTTAGACACATGTGATGTCAATTGAGAAATGCCTTCATCAGATCACCTGCAGGCAAGTCTGCAGAGCATTTTCTTCAATAATGGTCGTTGTGTCTGGCTCACTGTGGGCGGTACCACCTCTGGGTAGGTGGTCCTGAGTTGTATAAGAAAGCAGGCTGAACAAGCCATGGAAGGCAAGCTATAAGGAACGAGCCAGTAAGCAGCGTTCCTCCGTGGTCTCTGCCTCAGTTCATGCCTCCAGGTTCCTACCCTGAATTCCCTTCATGAAGGACTGTAGGATAGATAGATAACAAAGCCTTTCCTCCCCAAAGTGCTTTGTGGTCACACTATTTATGACAGCAAGAGAAACTAAAGTAAGACACATCTATAATCTACCACTAGACAGGTTGAGACAGAACTACCACTATGAGCGCTCAAGGCCAGTCACAGCCACAAAATTGAGATTCTTTCTTTAAATAAATAAATACTTAAAAACAAACCAAAATAACTATAGGTAATATATTCAAAAACATTGGGGTGGTGAAAAAGAAAAAAAAAAAAGAAAAACTCAG